TCGGTTTGTACCCCGCGTACGCGCGCAGTGGAGCAGAAACTCGCGCTCGCTCCGTTTCCCCGCGGCGGGGACAGGCGTTTGGTCTGGAATTCCGTGACTTGCCCTTCCTAAATTCAGCCGTGTGGGAGGAGAGAGAGAGGAGAGAAACTCCTCCTCTTTTTCCCTTTGGAGCCGGTCTAAAAGAGGAAAATGGTTTCATTAAATTTAATTGCGGGTTGAGGAAGACCAATAACCCAAGCTATCTGCTGTCCCGGAGCGGGGGAGCGGCTGCGCGTCGCGGTGGAGTCCTGCAGCCTTGGCCTCCCGCCTTGGCCCTGCTGCCGGTTCCACCCTCGCTCATAACCTCTCCCGCACCCACCTGCTTCCGCCACCCCCCGCCACGTCCTTCGTGTTTTTTTTCTTCCTTTCATCATCTTCAACCTTCTTGCGTTTCTTCACAGGCGTTTCTTAGCCAGCGCATTGAGTAGTGCCATTGAATGAGGTTGAGCTCACCGCAGGAGGGACGTATTCGTTTACGGAGGTTACAGGTGTCTTTATCATCTGCGCATTTTGGAGAAGAAACCACATGTGAACAGAGGCCAGCCCTGCTAGCAGTGCTCCGAGGAAGACAAGCTCGAGTAGCGAGCCTGCCTGAAGCCCTGCGCATTTCAGGATGTCATTTGCGCCACACTTCGGGCAATTTTGAACAACATAGGAGAGGCAGGCTTTGAACAAGGGAGTCCGCGTGTCTGGGTAGCGCAGAGAGAAAAGGAGTCGTGCGTACTGATAATAAACACTGAAGCCTGAGGTGAGTGTGTGTCCTGAAACTTCGTAATGAAAGTTTCACCGTGGACTTCAGTAAGCAAATAGTCGCTATAGTGCAGACGGTGAAAACACAGCTCGTGTCTCGCGAGGCCTGGAGACAGGTTGAACTGATCGGCAGCGCTGGGTTTGGTGACCAAGAGGCGCGGCGTCTGTCCTTAACAACTGACTCGCTAAGAGCAGCTACCGGGCAGCGCTGTCCTGCGAGAGTCACTGCCTTTGGATGGGAAATAAGACCTGGTCCTGCCCAGTTTTGGCAGTTAGCAAACTCGCGCCCCTGTCTGCCGGAGCGCTTTAATCCTGCTGCCACGAACAAGCCCTTCGCGGCGGCGGCC